AATGGATGCACACATGCACAGCATAAGGTATGCTAAAATAACGTGCCCTAATACTAACATTAAAGCGGGTAGTAAAAGAAAGAAAGAGTGAGGTTGGAAACATACACACCACCCACACACACTTATTACAGATTTGCCCTCGCTCGGAGGGACCGAATAAAATATTACAAATTAGTACTACGCAAGCTAATTAATATTACAAATTAACTAATTTAATTAACAAATTAAGTAAAATTAATTAAAAACAGGGAAAACGCCTCGGAAGCGCGCCACCATGCATGGGCTGCCTCTGTTTTCCTTCCTTCCTCCTCTGGAGGCTGTCAAAGCCTCAAGACTGACCTTGGACAGAGAGGATCACCACCGGCTGATTGAGATTGCCACCGCATCATTTATGGCCATCGGCAACAAATTGAATCTGTCGGCAGAGAAATGTTGAAATCTCGTGTCGCAGGTTGTTTCATGTATCATCAATCTGCTGCGATTTCCACTCAGATAATTACCTGCCTACCATCACAGCAAACATCCAGGCCGCTGGCAGCAATATCAGACATTGTTATGCACCAACGAACCATGTCTCCTATCATGTGAATGACTCAAAGGGACATGTGCCTCGGTTTCTCAGACCACCAATCACGCATTTCCATGCATGATGGCCAAAGAACCCCAAGTATGCAACTTTGATTTCAAATTTATGTAAACCAATCAAACAAAAACCCCAATCCCTATCACCCAAGTCAAGGGACAAGGAATGCATGCAAGATGCAATGCAAACCTAGGCATACAAGCTAAGATGCAACATTGGCATGGCAAGGCACTTATGCAAGCATACAAGCATACATATGGAAATGCAAATAGATGGAAACGTGGTCTTATACATGAATTAGGCAGCTCTAAAATTAGGCCTAAAAACAGTAGCCAAAGTGCTAAAAATGAAGGCTAAACGGCATGCACACAGCACATGCACATAAGGACCAACACTTAAGCACAAATCAAACAACATTCAAGCACACTTGAAAAGGAGAATCATGGACAATTAGCATGCAACATAAGCATTGAAAATGCATGTTAGGATGTGCCAAACCAAGCAACAGATCAAGCTTAAACATGCAACAAATAGTCTAAGTGTTCAAAGCAAATCCAAGGAGCATTGAAATACACTTGCAAGACTAACATTATGGGCTTATTGACCCAAAACAGAGTTTTAGCACATAACATAAGGCCCGAAAGACCACTTAGATGGCAATCTAAATGGCTTAAAACAAAGGCATGCACAAATGTCAAAACAAGGAGCATGCAACACATGCTTCCAAAGCATTTAAAGAGGCATGCAAGGCAATCAAACAAGCAATGGAAATGGGACTGAATGGCATATAGAATTGATCCCAAATCACCAAAACAATGCAAGATGCCATGCTAACACATGCACATACTCAAGGCCAACAAGCCCAAATACAAAGAGCTATATAACGCATGCTAAAATCGACCCAAAAACTTATGCACAGACCTAGAACATGGCCAAAATAAGCACATAATCTTCACAAGACTAAACCTAAAACATGCTCCAACAAAGGCTAACAACCTAAGGCACACTTAAGGCACAAACAAGGCATTACATGGCAACTATGCTAAGCATGCATGGATTCAAAACCAACTTAAAATCATGTATATCATGGGATATATAAGCATGAAAAACAAAACCAAAACATGCTCAACACACACTCAAGCATAGGCTTCCTTGAGGCCAAAAATGCCCTTTTCAAGACAATAAGGAGAGGGGGTGGCCCTCTCCTTCTTGGGACTTCAAAGCATCATCTTCACCACTTGAAATCCCTCAAGATTTTCAAGTGGTGAAGAGACCTCAACACCAAAATCCCGGAGCTAACACAAAATGGCTCAAAAGAGGCCTTTTGAGGCCTAAGGGTGGTCAACAACCCTTCAAACACCAAACACTCTTAATAAACAATAAAGAGGGCCTAAAAAACAGAACTTTTTTAGTTATACAATAAGCACAAAAACAGCTCTAAGATAGGTATAAAATCAAATGCAAAAATGGGGAAAAAAGGACTAGAATCTCACCCTTGGAAGCCTTCTTCTCCAATGATGCTCCAATGGCCTCCTTTGCTCCAAACCAGTCAAAAAACTCAAGAAACAAGCCCTTAGAACCCTAGTTTCAAGAGGAGGTGAAACACTAGGTGTTTGTGTGCAATAGTGAGACACAAAACACCTAGTGTACAAATAAGAGGGAAAGAGAGATAGGAAATGTATCTAACACTAACCCTAGAACAAGAGCTCAACAATGGCTGCTTTTGCTCTCTAAAATGTCTTAAAGTCCCTCCCTTTTTGCCTTTAGAGAGAGCTTCTCTCTTATATGTCTTGTAAAGCTTACAAGACAAGCTTTACAAGAGGGGGATCCCTCCATACACGTGTATGGAGGGAAGCAAAAGCAAGACAGCTGTCTAAAAATATCTGCAAAAGCAGATGAACAGCAATCGGGCGGCCAAAAATGCCATCTTGGCCAAAAGGAGTGCCGACCGGCACAAAAAAAGTGCTGGCCGGCCAACAAATAGTGCCGGCCGGCAAACTAATATTGCGGTGGCAGCAAACACCAGCCGGTGGCCTCTAGCCACTGCCGGTGATGGGTAGGATGTCGTCACAAGCCCACCCTGCTCTCAAGGGCAAGATGCAAGTGTTTGGTGCAAACCAGACACTAAACGGTCGAGTTCGAGATCCTGAGGCAAGGCACGCGAGCCGAGGCCTCCGGGAACTCCAAACGAACACAAACATGGAAATCACCGTGTGTTCAAACGGTGACGTCCAAGTCTTGAGGACGGTCAAAAATGGGGTGTCTACACTATCCTTGTTATAGTTGTTTCTGGGGAAATCAACTTGTTAAAACTGAAATTGATTCAATCTTACCTTTGGTCAACTTAATTTCACAACTAGTCGTTTGAGTTTTATACTTGAGAATACAAAAATTGAAAAAATTTAAAATAAAATTAAATTACCAACTGATTTGATTTTACAAGAAAGGAGGGGGGTTTAAAAATCAAGCCATACTACAAGCTCACTTTAGATTTATCTATCTATATATGTATAAAAGGCCCATATTAAAAACTTGATTTGGGTCTCGAAAAAGTCGGCAAATTTCCTTTTTTTATTGCTTATTCACACAAGCATTCATTAGAATTTTTATTTTTGTTGTTTTATAGACTCTAGGCAATAATCTATTTTTTTTTTGTTGTTTTTAAATTTTGCATTTTGTTGTTTTTGTAGACTCCAGAGTGCTTGACACAAGCATGGAGGCATTAGGGAGGAAAATGGTAAAGCTGTGTGCTGGTTTACCTTTAGCAATCATTGTGCTTGGTGGACTTTTGGCAAGAAATGACTTGCCTTATCAATTGAAGCCATGTTTTCTATATTTTGGTCACTTTCTGGAGGATTATGAGAGAAATGTTTAAAAACTATATCGCTTATGGATAGCTGACGGTATAATTGTAGATGATGGTAGAGTGGGGGATGAAACAATAATGGATGTGGCAAAACGTTACTTGGGTGCACTAACACAAAGGTGCATGGTTGAAGTACATGTAGAGATATATACTCAAAGGATCAATTATTGCCGCATTCATGACCTTATGCTGGATTTGTGTTTATCAAAGGCAAAAATGAATGATTTTCTCGCGATCATTCATCTCCAATGCGAAACTGATCTAGATGATTGCTTTTCCACCACATCAACAACTACTACTCCTAAAATACACAAACTTGCAATTCATTTGAGTAGGGATGTCAAAAGAGTTGTCCTCCCTGACTTGGAGACAACTAAACAGCTAAGATCAATATTGTTGTACGATCCAAGAATTCACTTATGGCCTTTAACTAATGTCAACAGGTCTTCAATAGAGTTGAACTCCCATGTCAAGTACTTCAAATTGTTGAGGAATTTGGATCTTGAAGGATTTAAGTTTGATAAGATGTCAGTCGAATCAATAGGTGACCTAATTAGCTTGAGGTACTTGAGTTTTAGAAGTTTTTTCATACCAAAGTGGCATTCGTCTATTTGCAAGTTGAAATACTTGCAAACCTTGGATTCATGACATTGCGAGTTTAACTCAAGTGAAGTAATAGTCTTACATGGAATGGAACAATTGAGGCATTTGTATATTCCTCATTCTTGGGGTCCCAATGCTAAATTCAAATTTGATGGGCTGAGCAACCTCAAAACATTAGGAGGGTTTCACACAGGATCTTGTGATGTGAATGATCTGTGTAAATTGATCAATCTTCGGTAACTAGAAGATGCAACTTTCTTGGAGGAGGACAATCTAGACTTAGCGACTTTCATCAACTACCTAAACATCAGTGCCAACCACCTTCAACAAACATCCTTATCAGTTGAATTTTAACAAAAAGAAGAAGAGTTGGCTCTTCTCAAACAATTGCTAGGGTGTCACCATCTTTACAAATTGAATATTAGTGGAATTATTCCCCAGTTACTAGAGTACTGCCAGGGTTTCTCTCCCAACCTCATCGAGTTAACGTTGTTTAGATATGAACTTCTAGAAGACCCTATGCCAACATTGGAAAGGCTACCTAACCTACAGTATTTCTTTTTAGGTGGTGCCTTTGTGGGGACAAAATGGTTTGCTCAGCTAATGGTTTCCTCTAAGTCAAAACCCTATCTCTCTCTCAATTGATGTTCTTAAAAGAGTAGAAGGTGGAAAAAGAAGCCATGCCCAATATCTCTAATTTACGCATTACTTATTGCATAGGACTGGAAATGGTTCCAGAGGGACTGAGATTCATTGTTACCCTCCAACGATTTACAATTAAGGATATGAACGAAAATTTCAATAACAAGCTTCGCAGGGTCTATGGTGAAGAAGGAGAAGATTTTTACAAAGTGCGACATGTGTCTTCCCTCAACATTATTCGGTAAATTTCTTAATTCTGCTTGAATAATCCTTTCACAAGGGACAAAACAACTGTTGGGTCTCTTATCATTTCTTTCACATCCCCCTCATTAATTCTCATCATAAAATTTGTTGATATATACATATTGCTCTATGCTTTTTTGCCTTTATATTGGTTTAGGGGTGGACAAATTACCATAGAATAAAAAAACTAAACCAAACTGACATCTTTAGATTGTGTAACGCCCTCAAAAAAATACATAAAACCCATCATTCTTGACATGCAACAATATATAAAAAAAAAAACAAACATCTTTCTATTTATCGGAGTAGTTCTTACAAAAGTATTACATGTTGACAGCAAAAGTAAACGCCTTAAGGGCTTACAACTTTCCAAGCCAACACTTGGTTACAAGAAATGAGTGCTAACTCATATACATATTAAGCCCTTGGCTTGAATTTACATGTAATACATCAAAAGAAAGCAAAACAACAAAAAGTCTGTCTGCCTCTTGCCTCCCAAGCTATGTCCTTGGAGGTGGCATGCTACCTGTACCTGAAAATGATGTCCCATATAGGGTGAGCCACAGCCCAGTAGAAATATACTAAACCAGCTATAAACAATGACTAAAAGATTAGTAGTTGATAGATGGTCAACACTTATACATCCATTCATATCACATTATAGTTCCACGACAGTCATGTCCATGTTACAATTCATTTTCCTTTACTTATCAATTCATTTCATATGCGTGGCTCAGAACCTGGCCAGATAACTCGACAGAGATTACATCTCTTATTAACAATACTTCCAAAGCAAGTGAGATATCAACTCATAATAAACTTTTCATACTTCATAATAGATACACATTTTGGTACTATATCAACCTCAAATAAAAGCACTTCCATACTTCACAAATGATACACATTTTAGTGCTGTATCAAAACATGTAAAAACACTTCCACACTTCACAAATGATACACATTTTAGTGTTGTATCAATGTCAAACAAGATTCGGTTTAGAGACCCATCCCCCATCTTCCCCTAAATTGTGGAGTACATCCCCTATCTCTCCTCCCACACACACAACGTATATAAACACAGATCATATACATAATCAATCAATACATAAGGTTAATGTATTATTCCAATCGTCATATTCAATGACACATTCAATTGATTAGTTTTAGTTTGCCTACATCATCATGCATTGTCTACAACAATCAAGACTATCCTCCACTGATAGCCCAAAGCAGTTATTTCTAAACAGAAAATAAATGCATCAAATGGATATAATATCAACATTTTGACTAGGTGAGCGATAAATGAATCCAACTACACCCTTTAATCCCGTTATTTCCCAATTTCAATAATCTCAATTCAATTTCTCATATCTCAAAATTAATTATACAAATTAATTATACCAAACTAATTAGGGCATTTTCCCATAATTCACATGACAACCCTAAGGTTCCATTTTCGTCAATAATCCAACATTAATACCTTTTCTCAGTGTATTACATACATATGGGTTTATATATACGAAAACCCCCCTCTTTTGTAAATTACACAAAAACCCTAAACTTTTTCAAAATTACCCAACACCTCCCAACATATCAAAATGCCAAAATTTAAAGACAAAGCTCATAAGATGGAGTAGGATATCCCTACCTCGAAGTTAGAGCTCAAATGGAGATGAAGACCGAAATCCAACATGCTCCAAATTCAATAATTTTCAGATTAAAACGAAGCCCTCAACCCACTCTATCTTTTATACAAAGAGGCTAGGCTAGGAACTCACTAGAAGGAGATGAAAACCTAGAGAGAAGGTTTGTAGAGAGAGAAGAAGCTCGGATCTAGGGTTTCCAAAACAAAAGAGATGAAAAAAATGAAGTCTTTTCCACTGCTGCCTACTGATATACAACAGGCTCGCTCGAGCGAAGGATTGGTCGCTCGAGCGACCAGACACAAGAAACCCTCGCTCGAGCGAAAAAAGTCTCGCTCGAGCCAAAAATGCAAAGCTTCAGGTCTGCAACCAGAAGCACGCTTAAGCGACAGAATTCTCACTCGAGCAAAGAACTCGAAAACATACACCTCGCTCGCTCGAGCGAAGGAAAGCTCGCTCGGGCCAAGAAATGCAACTCTCAGATCTAAACCCTGTCGCAATCGCTCGCTCGAGCGAAGAAATCCTGGCTCGAGCGAAGGACCAAAAAGAAAGAGCTCGCTCAAGCGACAAAGTGCTCGCTCGAGCGAAGGACCAAAATTCTGCGCAGCAACCATTTGCTCCCAAACACTCCCAACCTATAACAAACCTACCCAACACATCCTATAACTCAAATAACAAGTATTGAAGGATGGAAACAAGATATAAACAATAATCAACATCCATGGAAACAAGTCTGGATCACTGTACACAAAGGGGTAAAACCCGGGATCGCTATAGATTGGGTTGGTTTGTTTTGTTTTGAATACATTGGTTTAGTTTTGGGTCTTCAATTTATAGCGACCCCGGTCTTTTCTCATTTGTTTATTGTAACCGAACTTAGGTTCCGTAGCTCTTGCTATTGTATTTTGATTGTTACCGTCCTTTATTTTCCTATTTATGAGTTAGGGGTTGCATTGGGCAGGTTTGTAGCAGGTTGGTTAAGCTTGGGAGCAAAGGGTTGCTACCCAGAATTTTTACCCTTCGCTCGATCGAGTAGTTCTTCGCTCAAGCGAGCTCTTTGTTTTGGTCCGTCGCTCGAGCCAGGGTTTCTTCGCTCGAGCGAGGATTGCGTTTTGGAGTTAGACTTGAGAGCAGTGGTTTTTGGCTCGAGCGAGCTTTCCTTCGCTCGAGCGAGCTAGTTCGTTCTTTGCTCGAGCGAGAGTTCCTTCGATCGAGCGAAGTTTCCTTCGCTAGAGCGAGCTTCTGGGTTGTTGGCTCGAGCAAGGATTTCTTGGCTCGAGCGTATCTTTTCTGTATCTGGTCGCTCGAGCGACCAAGTCTTCGCTCGAGCGAGCCTGTCAGGTTTAAATAGGCAACAGCGTGTTTCAGATCTGTTTTTCATACACTTTCATATTCCAAAACCCTAGTTACGAGTTTTCTCTCCCTTTACACACCTTCTCTCTTAGGATTGATCTACCTAGAGTGAGTTTCTACCTTAGATCCTTTATTTAAAAGATGGAGTGAGTCAAGGGCTTCCATTTAATCTGAACATTTAGTGATTTGGAGCACATTGGAATTTGGGTATTCATCTCTGTCTTCTCCATTCGGGTTATTTTCTTCAAGGTAGGGATTTCCTACTCCATTTATAAGTTTTGTTCTAAGTTTTGGTATATTGATATGTTGGGGTTACTTTGGTAATTTTGGGAAAAACCCTAGTTGTATTAATAAATTAATTTGTATAATTAATTTAAGGAAATTGTGGAATTTGGTTAAATTCATGAAATTGAGGAATTCATTGATTAAATGGTGTAATTGGATAATTTAAATCACTCGCCTATTGAATTGTTGATATATTTATTTCCAGTCTAGAAATAACTGTTTTGGGCTATCGGTGGAGGATAGTCGTGATTGTTGTAGACAATGCATGTGGATTAAGTATAACTGAAACTAATCACATTGGTTGAGTCATTCATTTTGACTGCTGAATTAATACAAACATTATGTGTATTGATTGTGTGTTATATGTTATGTGTTTACATACATTGTTTTGTGTGGGAGGAGATAGGGGATGAACTCCACCACTAACACATATAGCATAACCAAACACCCTTTGACACCACTTTACTCATATGTATTGATTGTGTGTTGTATATGACAAGTGTTTAATACATTGTATATGCATTTTTGTTTGGGAGGAGATAGGGGATGGACTCCATTAGCATCACTTTTATGTGTGCTTATTTATATAGAAGTGTTTTTTTGATACAGCACTAAAATGTGTATCAATCTGGAAGTATGAAGTGTTTTGATTTATTTGAGCTTGAGTCTCATTTGTTTGTTGATATTGGAGGAATGTGAATATGATATATATTGTACACTGTTGTAATTTTGGCCAGGTTCTGAGCCATATTGATAATGTTGGAAAGTGAAACGTGTCGTTGACAATAATGTCATGAGATTGGATAATGATGTAATTGATTATCTTGGTTGACCATCTATTGAATGCTATTGCTTTATTCATTGCTTATATGTGGTTTAGTATATTTCTATTGGGCTGTGGCTCACCCTTTATGGGAACGTCATTTTCAGGTTCAGGTGATAAGTTACCTCCAAGGACTTAGCTTTGGAAGGACTTGGATTTTGAAGACTATTTTTAGTTGTTTGTTTTTATTTGTTAGTACATGTAGACACTCAAGCCTAGGGCTTTATTTGGATTTGAGTTAGAACTCATATTTCTGTGTCCAAGTGTTGGCTTGGAAAGATGTAAGCCCATAGGAGGGCATTTATTTTGATGTTCCATGTAATGACTTTTAATAAAAGTACTCTGATGAATAATTCAAAAGATTCGTTTTCTTTTAATAATGCACGTTAATGTTATGTACATTATGGGTTTAATTTGAGGGCGTTACAACTTGGTATCAGAGCGTACCGGGTTTGAATACTTTGGGTACGTGGGAAGTGATTAGTATCACATTGGGTTCGTCTCGTTTGATAGAGACTTAGTGTAATGTTTTATGCTTATGTGATAACATGTTTATGTGATTATGTGGGTATGGAATGTAGTTCGTAGGATGTTGATTGGACCCTTGAGTTTCTAGTAGTCTTGTTGGAAAGGCACTTGATCACTGTCGCTTCCAACCGGAACTATAGTAACGCATTGGGACTATCATTATCCGGGAATGAAATTCGTAGGTGCTTATGTGATTATGTGCTTACGTGGAATGAATTATTGTTGTCCAATGCATTAGGACGCGAGTGTTTAGCTTCGGCACATTTATTAATGTGCTAATGTCTTTGTTTCCTTTATTAGGATGTCAGGACGAGGACGAGGACGCGGTAGGCGTGGTAGGCCGGGTAGGCAGGAGGTGCCTGTGCCAGAG